CAGCATTTTGTTCTTCACCTAACATAAAAATATAGCTTTAAATATTTAATGACTTATATTTAAATCATCTTACCTTATAAAAAACTTAGTCAAATAAAACAATTACAGAAATATTAAAATAAATCACTTCGTTAATCACAAAATTGGACGAATATTAAAAGCGAAAACTAAACACGTGCACACCCTGCTCTATGTAAACAGAGAGGTCAGGTCTCGTGCTGACGTCACTAACTTGGCATTCCTGGCTAACATTGTAGAATAGGGATCTGGCTATCCTTGTAGTATATAGTCCTTGGCAGAGAGGCACCAAATGGTTTCCAAGACGAACAAGATTTGTTTCTGGAGGGGGCGCCAGTTATGTTCGCTATGCCACTGTCATTTAGCAAGCCCATTATGGATTCGACCAGGTCCACAATATGGCGGGCAAAATTGTTATCAAAGCAGAATGAATTTTAATTTATCATCATAATTAATAGGCTGTTTCTCTTGTAATGCATATATTTTAAAATGTGCTTTTTTTTAAGTTCCCCCCGTTCTAATGCCTTTATATATAAAATTGATAATAAACATTTAATCTTTATTGAATAATTTTTGTAGATGTTATATATTAAACATGTTTTCTATTTTTCCTCGTTTATCTAGCATAAATAATTGACCAAAAAGTAAGAAAAATTCCTATTAAAATACATTTAACTTTATAATAAAATTCACATATATTACTAAATTTAAAAATACAATAAATATAAAAAAATGATATTCTTAATATAATTTAAATATTTTTATATTACGTTTGATAATAAATTATTTTAATCATATTGTTTTTTTATTGATTTTTAAAAAATAAAATACGAAACAAAATAATAAGAAAAATGTATTGATATAACATATATTATTATTGGCTCGAAAGAGACGGATTTTCTTATATTGTCCAATTAGGCAATCGTTAAGAACGATTTTCTATATTAGGAGTTAGTTTACATTATTGACAGACGAACAGAAATCGATGTTTAAGAATCAATACGAGTAATCGAAGCATTTATATTTTAATTTTAATACCGATAAGTATCAACTCTGACGAATTTAGTAAGTAAAACAGCGTAATTTTATTGATATTTGAACAAATAATTTCTTAAAGTGACTTATTTTCAATTAAAATACGAATCTAAATCTTAATTTGTTTTGAATTTTTGTTGCAGAAGATATACAAAATTACGTAAAAAATAATTCGATTATTTTATTGTTAAGAATTTTAAATTTAAGAATTTATTCATTAAAACTTCACAAAAAACAAAACTGAAATTAAAACTTAGATTATCATGTTATTTATCTATTTATTTTTATTTAATTTTATCTTTATATTGGAATATTTTATTCAAAAACAATCCAGAATAAAAACATTAATTCAATTCTAGCTTCAATTTGTTAATTTATTATTATTTATTTTTGCATGATATTCTGAGAAAAAATGAAATTTATTTCTTTATTTATGGGTGTTTTAAGTTTTAAGTTTGGTAGGAAGTCTCTCTCGAGTGGCAGAAACGTGGCTCCAGTTTGGTCGAGGAATACATCACTTTGAAGTCCGTTACCATAATAAATTTTTCTTGCCTTGGGTCCAAATTCTGTAGCTTTTATGCTGTAATTGTGTGTTGATAAGTCGTTGCTAGAGCACATTCGATAGGTTGGACGGAAAGAATTTATCAATAGACAATTACATGAGAAATGTTGAGTTTAGAGTTTTTAGTTTCCTGTTGGCTATTCACTACCCATTCTTATATCTGTTATGTAGATGATATCTTGCTTGCTTGGGATGGCTCTGAGGAAGAGTTGTATGTCTTTATAGATATGTTATTTTCTTTCTATACAACAATTAATTTCTCTGTTGGGCAAGAACAAGCTGAGGTACCCTTTTTAAACTTACTCATATGCAGAGTACCTGCTGGGTTTAAATTTTCTGTCTACCATAAGGCTGGTACATTACCACGAATCATCCTTACCATGCCTTCCAGCCCCCGTGCTTTGTAAATTCTGCTATTTCAGCTCTTGTATGTAGAATGGTCTTAGTTTTGTCCACCCGAATATGTGTTAACAAAGATATGCAAATTATATCAGACACAGTATGTAAGACAGGATACTCCCCAACAAAATTTAAGTATCTCCTTAATTGCGTCAGGAAATCGATACATCCTCAGACATTTCTTTCTAATAAATAAGATTGCCACATTGTTCATCTGCCAGTTCTTTTTGTGGGCACTTTACACAAAGCCTGGCTCTTCAGAACTCATGGCCTCTTTTTACCAATTGTTCCCAGCCAATCTTACATAGGTTGTTATGGAATGATAGGGACAGTGTGCCATATATGAAAAATTGGGGGTTTACGCAATTCTGTTGTGGTAGCTGTAATCGGGAACAACATTAATGTACATTGGAGCCACATCTAGAATGTTGCAAGTTTGGGTAGCAGAACATCAAGACGATATTGCCAATAATAAACTCGCAATTGAGCTTTCAAAAAGAGTATTAGGGCATACTGAAGCAGTACTATGACGAAAGAATGTTATTCTTATGGGAAAATCTTTACATTGCATTGTTTTCACCCTACAATACCCCTACCATTGATTTTCTGCATTTATGGATAAAATTATTTAAACAATTCACATTATAGATGCTCTAAACATCTTTACACTTGGGGATTTATATCTTTGTTGATAATTTCACATGCATCTCATTTAATTAGACTTTTCTAATTTAAATTGAATACAGTTAGGCCTTGGTTTACGCTGCAGTTCCGTTCCTACAAAAGCCGGCGCAAATCGAATCGGCGTAAAACGAACCCGTATTTACAGTGAGGTATAGGGTTAGGTTCTACATAAGTGAAAAATAAGCTAATAATTTTGTTTATTAATACAATATAATACAAAATACATATAAATTTTTAATTTTTAAAATGTATTTTATCATAAAATAAAGTAAAATGTTTTTATTTAAAAATTTTAGTTTCGAATTTCTTACATTTTTCGGAAAAAAGTATCCATCTTTAATTGTTTACATTTTTGATTTCTTTCATTAAGAATTTCGGAATATGGTTGAATATGATGCTCCTTTTTACATTTGCACTTCGCTCCCAACATTGTATAACTCACAAACTTCATCCGTCAAACTTTCCTTAGTTGAATGGATACGTTAACCTGACGTAGAGCTACAGACGAGCGAAGACACTGATTGGTCAACCACCAGTCGCTGTAGTGCATATATAAGGTCAGTTTGAGTGGGAAAATTCAAGGTGGCTAAGGAGAGACTAATATCGTCTGGCCAATGAGAAGTAGATTTGTCTCACTAATGATAATTTGTGATCACTGGAAGTGCTATTGTGTTGTAAGGTGTTTTCCTGAATGAACTGATACGGGATACATTCATTGGCGCTATGGATTCGGATGCCATTTATTGGACTATTAAGTTTAATATCTTTGCTCGTGTTTTAAAACGTTTAGTATTTTAATATTAATTTAATGCAAATGTATACATACCCAATAATATTAAACAGAAAAAATATATTCAATAAATATATTTAATAAAAATCTTTGTTTTAACAAATGTACAATGTTGCGGCTCGGTAAATATGTCAACACTGAAATAAAAGTCTAGCATAGGGAAAATTGGGGAATTACACCTTGAAACGGCGAATTGTGCAGCGGTGTTATTGTAAATCGGCATAAATTGAACCGGTGTAAACCGAGGGCTACCTGTATTTGATATTTCAACCTTGTGCCTTTATTTAATTTAGAAAAGAAAAGTTGCATTTATTTTCCATTTTTAAGTTTAAAATTTTTGTTCAATTTTTGCTTGATGAAAAATTGTATGTCTTTGAAAGTGCAGTACTCACAATATAAAATATAAATAACACCTTTTTAACGGCCCAGCAAAAACATTTAATTCTCTAAAAATGTTTTTGACTGATTTTAGTGGCCTTCATCATTATTCTAATATTAAAAAGAACAAAGTATTCAAACTTATGCAATACAAAAATAAATAAAATTAAACTGCAGTTGTGTAGAACAATGGAAAAATCGCTTGTAGGTTATTCAAATTACAAAAACATAAGATAAAAATACAAACAAATAAACGTAAAATAAATAATAGTGCCGTCCATGCAGATACATATATTAACTTGTGTTATTATAAAAGGACTTCCAAGCAGTGGCTAATCCCTCCGCATCCCTGTGATTAATACATTCCGGCACTATTATTTATTTTACGTTTATTTGTTTGTATTTTTATTTTATGTTTTTGTAATTTGAATAACCCGCAAGTGATTTTTCCATTGTTCTACGCAACTGTAGTTTAATTTTATTTATTTTTGTATTGCATAAGTTTGAATACTTTGTTCTTTTTAATATTAGAATAACTGATGAAGGCCACTAAAATCAGTCGAAAATGTTTTTAGAGAATTAAATGTTTTTGTGCCGGACCATTAAAAAGGTGTTATTTATATTATTTTATATTTCGTTTTAGTTCCTGTAAGAATTTATTGGTTATTAAGTACTCACAATTTTTAATAAATACGTTTTTAACGTCAGTTAGGTGTGATTTCTCTCCCATATAATGTTTGATTTTAAGGATAGTTGAGAAAATTGCATCATATATCATTTTATTTTAGCAATGCTATTACTCTGCAGTTTTTGTAATAAAATTTTAATTGTTTTTCTTATATCAAGGCTTTCTGGCAATATCAAAACTTTTCAATTAATCAATGCTCTTGTATGCTCAATCAAATGATGGGTCAGATTAAGATAGCTATGCTTGGTTGCCCATACAACCACCAACAATGGACCAGACGGTGAAACTCATGTCCCTGTCACATTTAATCCCTAAATCGCTGTACACTGAAATTGCCAACAAACACTACATGCAGATAATGTACAGAAGATGTCCGATGATCTTTGACATCCTCCGCAATGGGAAAGACTCTCCCAACCATAACAGACTCCCTGGGGTTTACTCCATCCCTCTAAAGGACAACAGATGTAACAGGGACCTTATTTATATCGGATCCAACAAATGATCCTTGGCAACCAGAGTACGTGAACACCGAGCAGAACTTCAGCACGGGAGACACAACACGGCCCTTGCTATTTATGCCTCTGACCCTGATATCGAGACCACATTTAACCAAGCCAAGGTCATCCTAAGTACGCCTCATCCTGAACACATAAGATGGTTAGAAGCCATATCTATTTATAGAGCAAGCCACAATGCCATGTGCATCAACCAAAAAGATGAGCTAAATTTATCGGTTGCCTGGCAGGCCCTTATGGATGTCAACCTTTAATGGCCATTATCTATGCACAAAATGCACATGCCCTTCGTAACGACTTTCATCAGGCATATAATCAATTTAATTTGAATATTCATGTTATAATTTTGTGTTCCATTAGTTATTTGGTATATTTCATCTGAAGAACTACTATTCAACAGTCCAAAAATGTTAGTGATAAACTTTATTATTCACAGAGTGCACTGGTAACAGGTTCCAGACAAGGTGTTGGCTTCATTGTATGTTTTACTTTGTTTCTATATTTAAAATGTTCATATTATTATAGATATAAATAAATCTACTCTCTACATCCTTCACTCTTAATGGGTCTTAAATATTGCCTCGGACTAACTTTTGATTATCAACTATATCTTGAGTCTACTAATGTGAAAAGACAGCTTAAAAATACCTATTTCCCTAAAACAATAACTATAACCGAAGAACTGGTTACATTAGTGATTTTTTTTTATATTTTAACATATCAGAACTAGCATACACTTATATATATAATATTAAATTGCAGGTAACAATAACCATGATTACAAAAAAGAAGATTTTACTGTATAAAAATTATCATAGCAAAATTTATCTTGGTATCCACAGAAATTGAAATAAAAACTGTTCTAAACAGTGAATTAATAACTAAATTTTTAATGAAGGAGACTTCCTTACACAAAAATAAAGAATTACGATATATAATACTAAAATCTAAAAAGAAAGCTATTTTAACTAAATATGAGAAATAAAGTCAAACAGGAAAAATATTGTAACA